ACATGTCTGTACAAGGGCAAGCAATCGCAGCCACCTGTCCTTTCCCCTCCACCCAGACGGCGAAGTAGCAGAGGGAGAGAGGGCTGATTTCTCCACATTCTCCACAGCAAGACCAGCAAGACCACATCACCAGCACCCTCCTGTCACGGTGCCTGGGTCTGGCTGCAGGGATGTAGACACTGGGGGAGGAGGGAGAGCCATGTCTGGGGAGACAGATGCCGTGGCATATGTGACACAGGTGACAAATCACTCCCCTCTCATCCTACAGCTGGTACCTCTTCTTGCAGGGTTGGGTATCATCAGCATGTTTGTAAGGTGCATTCATGTGATTGTGAGCTGATGTCATTCATGTTCATTGCTTTTGGACACTATATTTCTACCTCTGATGAACAGGCACACCTTGGAGATTTGGGGGTTCAGTCATACACTCCCACAGTAAAGTGAAGATCACAATAAAGCAAGTCAAAGCAATCGTTTTGTTCTCTGGTGCATGAAAAAGTTGTGTTTAATAAGTCATACAGAGAAAGACAGATACCATATGTTTTCACTCTTATGTGGATCCTGAGAAACTTAACAGAAGACCAGGGGGGAGGGGAAGGAGGAACAAAACCATAAGAGACTCTTAAAAACTGAGAACAAACTGAGGGTTGATGGGGGGTGGGAGGGAGGGGAGGGTGGGTGATGGGTATTGAGGAGGGCACCTGTTGGGAGGAGCACTGGGTGTTGTATGGAAACCAATTTGACAATAAATTTCCTATTAAAAAAAAAAGTTGTGTTTACACTATACTGTCGTTTATGAGGCGTGCAGTCACGTTATGTCTAAGAAGCAACGTACGTTCCCTAATTAAAAATACCATATGTAAACAATTCCAACTGTTGTCTGAGCTTTCAGGGTAAGTGTCCCCGCTGGTCACAGATCACCATAACAACTGTAATCATAATGCAAAGGTTGGAAATACTGTGAGGATTGCCAAAATGTGACGCCAACATACGAAGCAAGAAAAGGCCGATGGGAAGTGGCACTAAGAGCCTTGCCTGATGTGGGCTTACCTCAAACTTTCCGTTTGTGATAATGCAGTATCTGCAAAGAAAACAGGCATGCATGTAGTCTGCTTCTGATGGCCACCTGGACCGTTTCCTGCTCGGGACAGTTACAAACACGGTTCTGTGAACGTTTCTGCAACCGTGTCCTGGTACACACAAGCAAGCAAACACATCCTGAAGCAGATCAAGCCACACTGTTTCCACACTGACTGTACCACTGTATGCTGCCACCAGCAGGCTACAGGCATCCATGCTGCCCCAAGGCCCTGTCAACACCGGGTACTATCAGCTTCTAAACTGTTGCCAGTGTAGAGGATGGGAAACAGGATGTGTGCATATACGTGCGTGATGTGTGCATATGTGTGTGATGTGTGCATATATGCGAGTGACACTGAAGGCAGAGGCAGGAAGCAAGACGGAGCGCAAGGGAAGCAGCATGAGAGAGGCCGAGCACTGGCTGAGGAGTCCCACCGCAGCAGACAAGAGCAGACGACGGCACGGTGCTCCCTGGTCCCCGCGGTAAGTGATGCAAGAGCTCGGTCTTTGGGCGAGCAGTCCCCCTAGCTTCCATTCTTCCTTCCTTTGCTAACTCTTCCCAGTTCCCTTCTGGGGATTATGTGCTTAAGGCAGGGCTCTCCCTCAGCTCAAGGGTGGAGCGAGAGAGTGCATGTGATGCCGCCTTGGCCACGGTGCCTGCTTCAGAGGTGAGAACATGACTCAAGGACTGATAGTCACAAGGAGACCTAGTTTAGATGGGGAAAAGATTCTGTGTTTTCTCGAGAACGTGCAAGAGGTGAGGTCATATGGTTTGGAGCTACATGAGCAATTTTGCTAAGCCTGTTTGAGAGTGAAGCCAACCCAGAGAGGAGGTATGAGAAACTGGTTCCTGATGACATCCCGTAAAACCCTGTATCTAGCTGTGCCTGAAGCCAGATTGACCCTTGAGTTCTGCCATCACGTGAGCCAATAAATGCCCTTTATGCCCAGCCAGATTGGACTTGTGTGTCATTTGAAGAAAAAAAAAAAAAAAAAAAAGAAGGAATCCTGACTGATACAGCACAGGAAGTTGCTGAAGGTTACTAGGCTGAACTATACAAAGCATTTGTGAAGAAAAAAAAGAACAACCAAAAAAACAGCCTATTCATCCAGAGAAGGGCAGACACTGGGCAGCAGTTCCTTCTCTGGCCCCACAGGTGGAATACAACCTGCCAGGACAGCCAGGTCTCCAGCCTGCTCTGGCCCACCACGGCCCTTTCCCACGGCTCCTGGATGGTGCGAGGAAACACCATCAAAATCTTCTTTCACCCCGGGCTGTCCTTCTAACCAAAGCCGACAGTGAGGACTCCTGGGTCAGCACGCAAACCCAGATTTTCACCCAGCTGCAGTCACTCAGATGTAGAGCTTGCGGCTACATTCTTGACCTCTACGCAGCTCGGGATCACCAGGAAGACATGGGGGTCGGGGGGAACATCCAGGCCTCTCACAGGGCAAAGTGAAACAGACGTTGGCCGAGCACAGCAGCATATCTGAGGTGCCACACAAAGTCATGGCCGTTAACAGGAGCAATCAACGCAGAAAAAGCACAGATGAAAGATGGAGGCCAGGCGTCCCCTGTGCTGGTTTTCCACAATTTGGCTATCAGGCAGGAAAGAGCCAGTGACGGGTTAGTGAGATGGAGATATCCTGACTGTTCACTTCCCAGACGACGGAGGGATCTGAGCAACTGGTGAGTGATTTACAATTTTCCGTCAAATTTCAGATGCCCATGGCATCACATTTCAGTCTCTCGAGTGTGATCAGCAGCACATCCTGATTCAGCTGGCAGGATGTGTGTTCTGTGTGGAACATACCTAAACTGACAGCACTGATGATTTGGTGGAATGTAGCAGATGTCCTACAAAGGGCCACCAGGGCCATCCTAACACAGCTCTCGGCCTGGGGCTCTCCTGCACTGCACGGCAAACAAAGCCTCCTGCAAGCTGGCCCCCCTGCCCTGAGCCAGGAACACAGCTGTGTCCTCAGGGCCCCTGCTCCCCACCCCTGGTCCTTGTACCCGCTCTTGTCTCTGCTCCTGCTCATCCCTGAGGACTTGACACAGGCCAGCCCCTCGTGAGACCTTCCCTGTGCTCAGAGCTTAATGGCTCTGCCCAAGGACCACTCCTCGCTGACCCTCTCAGCTCCAGCACTGGGCACAAGGCAGGAGGTCTGTCAACTGTCTCCCGAGCACCACCCTCTTCATGCTCCCCCCACACTTGCCCACCCCTCCCTCCCCCTCAGATGAGACGCTCTGACCACAAACACTTCCCAGATTGCCCCTCGCCTCCCTCGACACACACCGGCTTGGGGGGAAGGTCAACCTTTCATGTCTAGCGATCTGGCAGGTGGTACTTCCTCCTGGATGCCACTCAAATTAAGCCTTTATTTTCCAAAACCATTATCTTCCCATTCTCCATCTTTTCTGTTCTGATCCTGGGGACTAAGGCTGAAGTCGCCCCAAGAAACCTCAGCTTGGACTACGGCCTTCCTTCTGCGGTTTGCGGGGTTTTCTGGGGTGGTCAGCCCTTGTCTGAGACCAGTCTGTCGCTCCCTTGCAGGGAAGTGACATCTAAGAAGTCATTCACTGCTCCTGGGCCTCAGTTTCCTTACCTCTTCATGAGGAGAATAATAATGTCTTGTCAAGTTCACTGCACTGTGTGAAGTTCAAGTGAAGCCACATAAAGTGCTTTCAACTGCAAGAAGCTCTGTAAACACATGCTAGCAAGGACACAGGAGCCAACTTGACAGGGCAGCCAAAAGCCAAAGCTGCAACAATTTGAGCATCAAAATAAAGCAGTATTGGATTATAACCCAAAGTATAAAACAAATATCCACGAGTCCATGCTGATACAAATAAATGACGGAGTTAATAAATAAGGAACACGAGAGACTAAACTCCCCTGCAGAATTTCAAGTAATATATGTAGATACTTGTCCTCAGGGAGGAGGAGCACGCCCCCCTCCTTGGAAGTGGGCTGCACACAGTTGCTCATTGCCAGAGAGTTCAGTATGAAATGTAGTAGAGTGACTTTACACCTGAGAGGCCTGGCTACACGATGCCAACGGGTCACAATCAACAGCACGTCGTCCATCGTGTTGACACTGTGGGCGGCCTTCCTCTGGGGTCCTCCACCCAATCACCTGCAGCCGGTCTTAGGAGAAACACATCACAGGGATTCCAGTGGAGGGGCGCCCAGAACACAGATCACCGGGATGCAGTGAAACTGTCAACATCATCACAAACAAGTCTGAGAAACTGCCACAGCCAAGGGGGCTTAGGGAGCCATGCTGACCAAATGTCACCTCGTGACCTGGATGGGATCATGACACAGAACAAGTGCTTAGGTGAAAACTCAGTCACTCGGAGTAACTATGGACTCTGGCCAATAAGGTATCAATATCGGTTCATCAGCAGTAACAAATGTGCCACATGTAAGATGTTAATAGACGGGGGGGAAAGGGTTAGGACCCGTGGGAAGTCACAAACGGGCGCACAGGCGGAGCGTGCAGTGTCACAATCCGGGGAGCACACGGGGAGCTTGCGGTGTCACAAGCCGGGGCGCACACGCAGAGCGTGCGGTGTCACACACAACCCGGGGCGCACCGGGAATCTGGAAGCGCCTGCCCCCCCCCCCCCCGCCACTTGCTCCTCCAAGATGAACTGACACAGCCTGTTCTCTGAGGCGAACGAGGCATGAAGTCAACCGGGCAGCGCGAACCGGCTGCAGGATGGAGTGAACGTGTAGCTCCAAGCCCGGCGCCTAACCTGGTTCATTCCGACTAAACCCTCCCCCGCCTGGCGGACGAGCAGACGGAAGCAGCCTCGACGCGGGCCCCGGGCCACCTGCCGGCTCCAAGAGGGCCGGGGAGGGCAGTGGCCCCGCACCCAGGCGCACCGCCCCCCCTCCCCGCCGACTCACCCCACCGCCGATCTCCACGCCGCGAGCCCCGGGCCGGGGGCGCTGCTCTCGCTCGGCGGACGGTTCCGGATCGCGATCCCCGCGCGTCCCCGCCGCGCGGTCTCCGGGATCCGCCGGGCGCGGCTCCGAGATTTCTCGGATCAGCGCCCGGATTGGCTGCTGCCAAACTCCGCCTCCCAATGGGAGCCCGCAGCTCTGCTACGTCACTGATCACTGGGCAAATCCGCGGGTCTCTGCAGGGGGCGGGGCATCGGGGGCCCTGCCCGGCGGGGGAGGGGAAAGCCTGCGCCTGGGCGGAGCCCAGGTACGCGGGGCGCGCTCCCGGCGGCGGGATGGCTAGACCCGGTTCCGCAACCTGGCGGCTGGTTTGCAGGATTCCGACTGGATCCCTTGTCTCCCCTGCGCTGGGTCGGCGTCGGAGGGGGCTCTGCGGCGGGGTGGCGCGCACCAGGCGCTCGGCCTCAACTAGGCCTCCTCGCCCCCAACGTGGCCTAAATTCGCCTCCGGAACCCGGAAGGCCCTTAGCAAGCACAGACTTAATGGGCGCTGTTTACAAAAATTAACTGCTGTTTTCGAAGCGCCTGCGACGAGTGAGGGGCCGTACACAGAATACCCTTGAACAGGACGGCGTTACTGTTCCCACTGGACAGAAGGGAACACCGAGTTTCCCAGAGCTCGGGTGCCCGGGCCCGCTCAGGGCGGCTGTCTTCCTCCTCGGGGCTGGATGCGGGACACTCGAGTCCCTGAGACCCCGGTGGGGAGGGTCCGTGGCGGCGCCCGCGCGTGCGCCCAGGCTCCGCGCCAGCCGCCAACGTGTCTCCGCCTCTAAGGGCGCCGGAAGGTCAGGGTAGGGGTAAGAGGGTGGCTGGCGGGGTCCTAAACCCTAGCACCTGCCCGCCCCTGGCCCTCTCGCGGTGGGCCATTCAGACCTACGCGCCCTTGTTTCTCGACCTCCGTGTGCGCCCCCACCCTCACGCCAGGCAGTCTTCTCTCCCTTTCTGCCTCGGTGCCACTCGAAGCCCCTCTCTGGGGTGGAGGGGTGTTGTCCTCACCCTCCGAACAGGACGCGGGCCGGCCTGGGCTCTGGGTGTGGTCTCAGCACAGCCTGGAAACTGCTGCCACCTGGTCTTGTGGTGGGTGTTGTGGGAGAAAGCGTACGTAAAATGCTCCTTAAGTGATTCCGTGCTACTGGTGTGTCCTCTCCCTGTCCCTGACCCTTGCCCCACTCAGAGGCCATTCTGTAGCCATAGAGGTCTCCTGCCCGGCTTCAAATTATATGATACCTTCCCTAACCACTTAGAGACGCAGGAAGACCCTACTTATCTCTCTGAGCCACTTCTGTCTCTGTCCCTGCTCTTCAACCCGTCTGGCCTGAAACACTCTGCCCCTGCCGCTCACACAGCTGCCCTCTTCTTGTTAGCGGCTCAGGTGGCGTCTTAGACCGGCCTTCATTCTGTCACTGTCTTCATGCACGTGTCAGCATTGGAAAGCATCTTACTCTCCTGTCGGTGTCTCTGCCCGCCCGGCTTGTGCGTCCCATGAGAGTGGACACGTTCCCTGCCTCCTTCCGGGCACCTGCCTGCCACTCAGCAAATGTATGTTGAATGAATGATCTCTGCTTGGGCGTTTCTGGAAGCTTTCTGAAGCTGTGTCAACCGGCCTGGCTGCAGTATTGGTCATGCACTTCAGCACACCATACCTTCTCAGGTCTGAGTTACAGCAGTGGAAATGCTGACTCCAGGCCTTGTTTTGTGGTTAGAGATGGATTTGTAGCAGCATAGGGTAGTACTGTCCTGTCTGGCTGCTGCATGTTCAGACTTACTGGCCTCCCGCCTTTCTCGGAACACAGCCAAAATTCCTTCTTCCAGTTCTCTGGTCCGGTGCTCACGCCAGATGGAGTCCAGTGCAGTAAATGCGGCTGATTAGATGTCTGACTTTGGAGTCAAGTCTCTGTTTGGCTCTACATGCGCTTGAATCCTACTCTCAGGTACTTTTGGTGTGACTTTGGAGAGTTGCTCAAACTATGTGCCACAGGCTCTTTCTCTGCAAAATAGAGATGGTAATTCACAGAGCTGCTGTGAGGGTTAAGTAAGATAATACATATTATACCCACTTCACAGAGCTGCTGTGAAGATTAAATAAGATAGTACATATAAAACTTCTGGAACGGTGAGTCTTGGGAGGCCAAAGGGTGTAGTATAATTACTTCCATTTGAAATGAGAATCTTTTTTTTTTTTTTTTTAAGTAGGCTTTATACCCAGCACAGAGCCCATTTCAGGGCTTGAACTCAAGACCCTGAGATTACGACCTGAGCTGAAATCAAAGAGTCGGAAGTTTAACTGAAAGAGCCACCCATGCACCCCTGAAATGAGAATCTTAAGCAACAGGATGTTGTAAGTATGTTCCTGGAGCAACCCAGGTTTAACCTCAGGAAGAACTAGGGGGTCCCCTCTAAAACTGACTTTGCACAGTATAAATATATTGAGTTTAAATGTGGCATCTGGAAATCTGAAGGCTTTAAGAATATTAGAGTGCTTGCAAAGAGGCCTCCAAACAAAAGTCCTTGAAAATATGAGGTTTCCATTGGTAAAGATGCAAAGCATTTGTCTAAATCTTTCATACGAAGGATGCCTTTGCATCAGGACCAGAATAAATGACTATCTTAAAAAGCTAGAAAAAGCTATCTAAAAAAGCTTAGAAAAAGCTAAAAGTTAGCTCTTTTAACCACGGGGATTTCATTTGCTTACATCACCAAAATGCCACCATCTCACCAAGTAAAAGTATTCACATAATCAATATTTTCATAATAGCTTTTAGCACCCAGACTATATTCAAACCTCCTGATTTTCTCAAAGATGTCTTTTTACAATTAAGTTGTCTCAATCCAGATGCAGATAAGGGCCACACTATTAAGGAAAAAAATCCCAAACTTGGAAATGGGCAAAATGATGACTGTGTATGCTTTCTGAGCAACACTGGAGCATTTTCCAACAGGCCCACAAAGCAACGATCTAATTCTCTAGCACAGCCCTGTTGGACTTACCATGGCAGGATTTTTGGAGGACTCTCCCTGGGCAGATGTTAGCTTATGGAAAGTGATGTAAATGCAAGTGATTCTTGGTCAGTAGCAATGCCAATGAATATTGTTCAGTAGCGATATAATATACATGCACTCAATGTGCATGTGTGCTCTGATTTTTGAAATGTCCTTGGAATAGTTCTTTTTTTACTGGTCCCCATGTTAATATAACTTTGATACATGCTCAGTTTATATTTGTATAGGACCATTGTTTTTAACTTTTTGAAAATTATCCTTTGACAATATATGGCATTTTATTATCATGTCTTTTAATGTTCTTTTTATCTATAATAATCCTTTAGTTTCACACTATTAATTTGTTGGAGAAACCAGTTTATTTATTCTGTGTTTGAAGGAAGAAAATGATTTTTGCTTCCTAGTTCTGGTGTGCTCCATGCCAGGCTCCTGCAGCTGGCACCTGGCTTTCCCAGCACCAGCTCCCAAAGCACCAGAAACTTCCCTAACATCCAGTGTCTGCAATGCATGATGGTCAGCAACACACAGCCACCAGCAGCTTCTTGGCACCCCGCTTGGGTGGCTTTATATTGGAGTGTTCCTGGTGTGAACGGCTTTCTCCTGCACCCAAGACGGTGGATTTCTGGGAAGCTCCAGCAACTTCTCCTGCAGCAGAACCTCTGTGACTATTGTGCCATCCTGGGAAACACCACACAGACAAGGCTGGAGCCATCTTGGGAGACACCACCACAGACAAGGCTGGATCCCATCCCCTCTGTTTTCTGAGATTCTGCATCCACAAATATCCCATCTCCTGCTCCAGCATTTTCTACCTTTTCACTAACTCGTAAGCATAAACATATAATATCTCCCGTTAAGAGAAACATTCCTTGATATCTAAGTTTTTCAATCATTTTTCCTCAGCCAGCCCTTCTCTCATGTCTGTTCCTTATAACGTGAAAATCTTGTCTGTACCTGCTCTCTGCATTTCCTTTCCTCTCAGTCTGTTAAAAACTGTGAAATATACCATGTGTTCAAGAGTATACATAATACCTTATATGTTTTAAAGCGTTAGTGGTAAGGTAATAAAGTAGGCTCTGGCATTCATCTCTCATTTAAGAAATCAGACATTCCCACTACCTTTCACTGTGTGTCCCTAAGCAGTATTTCACTCGTGGTCTCCCCCAGACATAAGGATCAATCTGCACTTGTGTGATCATCATTCCTTGATTTTTCTTTATGCTTCTTTTTTATACATGTTTGTAACTCTAAATAGTACCTTGTCTGGTTTTGCCTGTTTTTGAACTTTCTGGACTTGGAAATCCCCCTGCACGTGTTCTTCTGTGACTTGTCTTTGTTTTTGAGATTCACCATCTGGATGCATTTAGGTTTGATGCCTTCATTTTCATTGCTGTGTAGTATTTCAGATATGAACAATTTGCATTTTTTTCTTCTTCATTCTACTGTTCCTGGAATTTGGTCTGTCCCCATCTTTTTGCTATTATGGTCAACACTGCTATAAACATTATCCCACATGTATCCTGGCACATGTACCCATGTGTCCCATCAGTTTTGGACCTCTCCCCCATTCATGTATTCACACAATGGAATCCTATTCAGTGAAAAACTAATCTCAGCGCAGTTCTCTGTGTACTTTTGGTAAGATCTCCAAGTACATTCCTAAGTGAAAGCAGCAAGATGAGGAACAGTGTATGATAGGCTACCTTTGTATTAAAAAAGAGGATGGAACAAAGACTCTATTGATATTCTCATAAACTAGAAGATACACAAGAAACTAAAGAAAGTTGCTATGTGTCTGAGGATGAGAAGTGAACTGCACAAATGGTGGACAGGAGCAGGGGCAGGACACTTTCCTGTCCCTACTGAGGCAGTGAGTGTTCCTTACAGCAAATGAATAAGTAGGGGAGTGTCAGCAAAGTATGGAAGCCGCACTGTGCCACACGCAAGCGTCCCAGCTCAGCAAAGTACCAAACACAACTGAACAGAGCCGGCCATGGAAGAACAGGGCTGTGTGTGATGCTGTTCACCCCTCCTCCATCCTCCTCACTCTTTTTGGACACAGTCCCTGTTTAAAAAGTTTTTAAATGTTTATTTAGTTTTGAGAGAGAGAGACAGGCACAGAGCATGAGCAGAGGAGGGGCAGGGAGAAAGGAGACAGAATCTGAAGCAGGCTCCAGGCTCTGAGCTGTCAGCACAGAGCCTGACGTGGGGCTCCAACTCATGAACTGTGAGATCGTGACCCGAGCTGAAGTCAGACGCTTAGCCGACTGAGCCACCCAGGAGCCCTGATACATCCTCCATTTTGAAATGCTTACTACGTCCCCCACCCCTAATCATCATGCACCTTTTTTGGGAATGAGAGTATTAATATGCTGCTGCAGACCCTTCCTGCATGAGAGCAGCCACAACTGAGTCTGTGCGGGCCCTCAAAAGTGCAGCAGGAAGTCTTCATTAGGCTGCCCCCCAGGAGCTCTCCCTGCTGTCTTCCACGGGAAATGTGCACAGGACGTGTGTGCACTGGAAGAAGTGACCGCTGCTAGGCAGACTGCACTTCTGGGGTAAGGTTGTGTTTGGAGCTCTCTAAGCTGCTTCTTAAGGAGAGAAGGTAGCAGGACAGCAAAATGAACCCAGACGTCTTTTTTTTTTTTTTTTAATTTTTTTTTTCAACGTTTATTTATTTTTGGGACAGAGAGAGACAGAGCATGAACGGGGGAGGGGCAGAGAGAGAGGGAGACACAAAATCGGAAACAGGCTCCAGGCTCCGAGCCATCAGCCCAGGGCCTGATGCGGGGCTCGAACTCACGGACCGCGAGATCGTGACCTGGCTGAAGTCGGACGCTTAACCAACTGCGCCACCCAGGCGCCCCCCAGACGTCTTTTTTAAGCCAAACAGAAACAAGCACAAGGCGGTGAGCCAGAGCTTACCATCACTGGCAAAACCTCAACTGCTTATCCCAGAGCTGTTTTTTTTTTTTTTTAATTTTTTTAACGTTTTGTTTATTTTTGAGACAGGGAGAGACAGAGCATGAACAGGGGAGGGTCAGAGAGAGGGAGACACAGAATCCGAAGCAGGCTCCAGGCTCTGAGCGGTCAGCACAGAGCCCGATGCGATGCGGGGCTCGAACTCACGGACCGCGAGATCGTGACCTGAGCCGAAGTCGGCTGCTCAACCGACGGAGCCACCCAGGCACCCCAAAGAGCTGTTTTTTTTAAAGGAGGCTTCACACTGGGGACAGAGCCTGGCTCGGAGCCCACCTCATCACCCTGAGATAACACCTCAGCTGAGACAAGAGTCACTTAACTCATTGAACCACCCAGATGCCCCTGTCCTGAAACACAAGTGGTAATGTCCCTATGCCTGTCTCCATGAACCAGCAGCTTCCTTCTTCCCTCATACTCTCAAGAGATCTTTACTTTTGCCTTTTATATCAGTAAAGCCCTTTATTTCATGTTATAATCTTTATCTATTAGGAGTTTAACACGTCTTTCCCAAACTGTGCTGGGAGTTGTTATCATTTTGTTGGTATTGTGGTCACAGAGGTGTGTAGATTTTGAGTTGGCTGCCAAAACACTATTTTCCACTATAAACCCTATTATTTCTGTGGACGTTTTGCAACTTGTGAATTTCTTTCCCCCAGGGATACATACATAACATTAGGGCAGAAGTATCTGTAAAACTTTTTACTGTTTGTAGAATCATGTGACTGCCTTGTACTAAAATTTTTTAAGACAAATTTTAATAAAATCTCCTGAAGTGGGGGGCACCTGGGTGACTCAGTCGGTTAGGTGTCCGACTTCAGCTCAGGTCACGATCTCACAGTTTGTGAGTTTGATCCCCGTGTCAGGCTCTGTGCTGACAGCTCAGAGCCTGGAGCCTGCTTCAGATTCTGTGTCTCCTTCTCTCTCTGACCCTCCCCCACTCACACTCTGTCTCTCTCTCAAGAATAAATAAACATTAAAAAAAATTTTTTTTTAAATCTCCTGAAGGAGACAGGGACCCCAATGGCAGCCTTATTTTACAGCAGCTTGGGCACCTCCAAAGCTTTTTGTCACCAGGGTCCTGTTCAAATGTTGCTTGCTAGGCATTTGGTGCAGATTCATGGGATGTTTTACCTCTAATATCCAAAGAGGTTAGTCAGGTTAATCAGGAGGGTGGGGGCACTTTTTCTTTCTGATTGGAGGCTATAAGACTAACCGTCTAGCCTGTCTACATTGTGCAACATCTCTGTGGGCTCTATCTGCATGGTTCCTAAGAAAGACACAGGGCCCTGGATATTATCCTCCCTCAAGGACTACCCAGCTTTAAACAGGTATGCAATGTGATCTTAGTGGGTTCTTCATGGGGGCTACTTCATGATCGTACCAGTAGCTCACATTGTGCTGAGGTTTATTTAATCCACTCTTGGCATATTACTTTGAAACCCTGAGGAAGTAGGGCAAGAGGACATTGCATGACTAGTAACTAAAGGAGCGCTAACCCTGATGAGTAGTCTGTAGAAAAGCAGGTGTTAGGAATGTCCAAGGTTGCATCCCAAGTGTCAGAAAGGCAGCACCCACAGCAATGATATGAGGATCTGCAGGAATAAAGTTGTCCTCTGCTTGTGTGAGCTTCTCAGTCTGCTTTCCCTGGCCAGATGGGGCGGGGGCTGGGTTGTATAGTATCTCATCCACTCTAATTGAATGAAAAGGAGAATTCCCTTTTCACCTTTGGGTTCACAAATCAGTTTCTTTGTTTAAGTTTTTCTTTAAATTCTAGTTAGTTAACTTATAGTATAGTATTGGTTTCAAGAGTAGAGCCCAGGGGTTCATCACTTACATATAACACCCGGTGCTCCTCCCAGTAAGTGCCCTCCTTAATGTCCATCATCCATCTAGCCCATCCCCCATCCACCTCCCTCCATCGTCCCTCAGTTTGTTTTCCGTCTTTAAGAATCTCTTATGGTATCTTTCCCTCTCCTTCCCCACCCTTCCCCTATGTTCATCAATTTTGTTTCTGAAATTCCACATAGTAAAATCATATGGTATTTGTCTTTCTATGCCTGACTTATTTCACTTAGCATAATACACTCTAGCTCCATCCATGTCACTGCAAATGGCAAGATTTCATTCTTTTTTATGGCTGAGTATATATGATTCCAGTGTGTGTGTGTGTGTGTGTGTGTGTGTGTGTGTGTGTGTGTGTGTGTATGTATGTACACACACACACATACACACACATACCTTCTTCAGTTGATTTCATTAGTGAATGGACATTTGGGCTCTATTCATAATGTGACTATTGTTGGTAGTGCTGCTATAAACATTGGGGTGCATGTACCCCTTCGAAGCAGGATGTTTGCATCCCTTGGATAAATATCTAGTAGTGCAATTGCTGGGTTGTGGGGTAGTTCTATTTTTAGTTTTCCGACAAAACTCCATACTGTTTTCCAGAGCAGCCGCACCAGTTTGCATTCCCAACAGTGCAAGAGGTTCCCCTTTCTCTGCATCTTCACCAACATCCGTTGTTTCCTGAGTTGTGAATTTTAGCCATTCTGACAGGTGTGGTGGTATCTCATTGTGGTTTTGATTTTTATTTCCCTGATGATGAGTGATGTTGAGCATCTTTTTATGTGTCTGTTTGCCATCTGAATGTCTTCTTTGGAAAAGTGTCTGTTAAAGTCTTTTAGCCCATTTCTTAACTGGATTATTTGTTTTTTTTTTTTTTTTTGGTTATTAAGTTTAATAAGTTCTTTATAGATTTTGGATACTAACCTTTTATCTGATATGTCATGTGCAAATATCTTCTCCCATCTGTCATTTGTCTTTTAGTTTTGCTGATTGTTTCCT